AAATTATTAGCTATTAAAGTATTAATTATAAAGGCCTCTTAGGCTATAAATAAAAACCTTAATCTTATAAGTATAAAAGTAGCTTATAAGTTTAGGGCCTTATACTATTAACTAATAACGCGCTATTATATGCGTCTAGTAAGTAATATATAAGGGAGAGTATAATAAAAAGCTCTTAGTACTTAAAAATAAAGCCTTTAAAGAGTATATTCTTATATTATAATATTTTAGGTATAGAGTAAATATATATAAGATATAATTAATACTAAATTATAAGAGATCTTAATTATATAGTTTTTATATAATAAATAAAGTAGTAAATAAGTTAATAAGTTAATTTCCTTAAATTAATTAAGGAGAAGCTTTTATTTATAAAGTAATTAGCTATATATATTATAAAGGATATAAAGGGGTATTTTTAAGAGTTTACCTATATTATAAAGTATTATAATATATATAAAGAGGATATATTAAATTTTAATAAGAGTAAGTTTTAGATTAAGGTTATAATAAGGGATTAAGTCTTTATTTCTCTTGATTATAAAGTAATTTATAATATAGATCTAAATAATTAAGAGCTTATAATAGTAGTAATAATAATTAATTATAGTATAAAGAAGATTCTTATAATAATTATATTTAAAAGTATATATTACTTATATAATTACTTTTAAAATACGCTTAATAGTAATATCCTCTTTAAGTAATCTATAATTAACTTATTAACTATTACTTAACCCTCTCTCATATTTATTACTTTAATTAATTTTACCCCTCTTTATAAGCTAATTAATAGTATATACTAATCTTTAATAACTCTAATTCTTACCTTATTGTCACAGGTATATAATAAGGTAATAGGGTAGTCGAGCCCCTTTCGGCCTAGCTGCGTAACACGTGCAAAACCCCTTTTATATTACTCGTAGCTTTAAGAGTAGAGAGGTAGAGTTTAGCTTATATACGATTTTGAGAGGATACTTATAAAGTGTATATAATACTAGTATTAAGCCCTAATTACTACCTTTTAATACTCTCTTTATAATTCCTTACTTTAAGGGCCTTAATATCCTAAACTCTTAATCTAACTAGTAGTTTATTATAAATAAGAGTCGCTACTAGTATAAAATATACTAGAAACGCCTTAGTTTCTATTAATTATAGCTTTAGCTAATATACTAGAGAGCTTAGTAGAGCGTATAGAGCGTATAGAATAGTTATAGAGACGACGTCGCCGCGAGAGTAATATATAAGAGCTAATATACCTACTATTATAAATACTAGAGCTTCTAGCGTATTATAATAAGGATATCTAAGAGGCTTAAGACTTTATATTAAAGGTAAAGCGTTGATTTCGCCTCGGTTAAGGGTACTACTACCTAGACGACACGTCTAAGATCGACTATTATATATTAGTATTTAAATCGAAGCTATACTATTAATAGAGCGTTTTTGAAGCGGATACTAGGGTTAGTAATACCACGTGGGATTAATTTAAGGTATACCTTTTTAACTCGATTTACGACACTATAAATTAATAGCTTAGCGCTATAGTTACGTATAAGAAAGCCTATTAATAAGAAGACTAGACGATAGACGACTTTATTATAGAGTTATAAACGCTTAAGAGAGAGTTAAGCTATACTAATAATAAGATATAAGCTAGAACGCTATTTATAAAGCTATAATAGGAGGTATAGAAAGAGATATTAAGATAAGGGAGCCTACTAGCTATATAAAAGGGTATATTAGACTTAGTATAGTTAATTAAGATAGTAGAATAGTTATTTAGTCCTAAATAAATAGAAGGAGAAGTTAAGAGAGAATAAGAGGGCTCTAAATAAGCTATAACGAGAACTTACTAGTATTATAATAAAGACTATACGAGTAGCTAGTACTTATAAGTAGTATATTTTAGGTACTAGGGAAAAGGGTATTATACTTTAGCTTATAAGAGCTAGTTAAGATAATAAGATACTTATTTTAAGAGACTTTTATACTAATTATATAATAAATATATACTAAATATATAGAGAGAATATACTAAATATACTAAGAGCTAGTAACTTAACTAAATATTATAAGAGGTTAAAAGAGTAGTTATATACTTAATACCTTCTAGTTATAAGGGGAAGGCCGAATACTAAAGTACCTTTACTTATAGAGTATAGCTTTATATACTACTTAGGACGCCTTATAAGGAGTAGAAGTAGTACTAGTAAGGCTTACTTATCTAGCCGAATGCCCGAGAGATAATTTAAAGGCTATGTATTATAAGGGAGACGATTTAGTTATATATTATAAGAATGAGTTAATTTTAGGCTATATACTATATATAGAATAAAGGCTATACGCTATATATATAAAAAGTACAAAAATTTAAGCTTTAAGAAGTATAGATTTAGGCTATATACTAAATAAAGAGAGATAGTTTTATAGAAGGCTAAACGCTTAAGTTAAAGGCTATATACCACGAGGGTTTTTAGGCTATATACTATAAGAGAGAAAGTTATTTTAAAGGCTATGTGCTATAAGGGAGACGCTAATTAGCCGAAGGCTAAGAGAGAGAAGAGAATTAAGAAGACTTATAGCTAAGTATTATCTAAAATCACCTATAAAAGTTAACTATTAGGGATAATATCTAAAAAGGGGGGCGATAGTAATATATTATATAATAGGTAAAAGGCACTAAAAACTAGCACTAAAATCGACGTTAAAATAAGTATAAAAAGTATAAAAGTAAGCGTAATTTAGAGTATACTAGACGATTATACGCCGTATAACTAGTAGAAGATAAGAGCGAATCTAAGTATAACTAAGAGACGGTTATATATTATAAATATAATAAAGGCTTAGTGCTATATAAGAGGGATAATTTAGGCTATACTAGAATATTATATTACTAAAAGTAAGGCGAAAGCGAGCTGAACATAGGACGTATATATAGAGTAGTAGTATAGATATATATATAGGGCTAGGTTTTGTTTATATAGTAGTTTCCCTAGTTTCAGAGACTTAAATAAGTATATATAAGAGGATAAAAGAGCTTAAGAGAGGTTAATTATATATATATAAAGGCGTAGTACTTAAAAAGCCTAGGGTAAGGCGCTTTAGAAAGGCGTATACTCTTAGGGATAAGAGCTTAGAGAGGGAGGCATTGTCACGGGCACGTGATAAGGTAGTAGAGTAATTAGGCCCCTTTTAGCCTAGCTATATAGCACGTGTAAAACCCCTTTTATATCGCTTATAGCTTTAAGAGTAGAGAGATAGAGTTTAGCTTATATACGATTTTAAGAGAATACTTATAAAGCGTATATAATACTAGTATTAAGCCCTAATTACTACCTTTTAGTACTCTCTTTATAATTCCCTACTTTAGGGGCCTTAATACTTATATAAGACTTATTTAACTTTTATTAAGTATATTATTAAATATTAGTAATAAGTACTTCTAATAGCTTCTAGAACCTATTACTAATACTTATATAATATTAGTAAGTATTACTAATTATAGGTTTTAGAAGGATCTAAGGTAGTAAGGATTTATAAGTTAAAATAAATTAAGTCTTTATTATATACTACTTACTAAGCTTATTAACTATAATTAGTCTCACTTTTTATATTTAAGTTACTTACTCTATCTCACAACTCGGTTACCCTATCCGACCTCGAGCCTAGTCGATCACGTGACTTCTATTTATAGAAATCTTATATATATTATATCCGCTTTTATAAACTATTTATATATATAACTTACTTCTTATAGCCTCTTAATATTACTATTTTCTAGGCTTAAAGTACTAGTTTTAAATTAAATTATACTAAGAGGTTTATATAAGTATAGAGATAATAAATAAGAAAGTATTCTTTATATTATTCTAAAAGTTCTAAAATAAGGTTTTTAAAAGTAGTTTAATTATATATAACTCCTTCTTTAAAATAGGGCTAATTCCTCTTAACTTAGAGATTATATTAAATAAAATAAAGGAATATAAGTAACTTTAAAAGTAAGAGAAATAAAGGCTTTATATACTTACTCCTCTAATTACTCTTATTTAATATACCTTATTAATTTTACTTTCTTCTCCTCTTACCTTTATTACCTTATTACTATATACTTTAACTCCTCCTCTTATAATAAATTAAGTTAACTAAGATATATTATTATTAATTTATATATAAAAGAAGAGTATTATATATATAAAGGAATAAATTAAGGCTATAATTAATAGTATATTACTTATACTTAATATAAAGTATATTTAAGAGAAGATTAAAAAAGTAATAGAGAGGTTAATACTTTCTAGTATATTAATAAAGTAAAGAGTATATAATTTAAGCTTAATTAAGTAAGAGTATAAGTAATAAAGTAGTAGGGATAATAATAAAATTATTTAAAAGTATAAAGAGAGATATATATATTAGGGAAGAGAGGATATAAGAGTAGATAATAAAGATAAAGCTAAAAAATTATTAATATATAATACGTGTAATTAGCTTAGCCTTAGTATAAGAAGTATAAGAAACTTATATTAGTATTTTTAAAAGAGTAATATAAGGCTAAGGATTAAATATAATATCGTAATTATCCCCTTATCTAGTGAGATATTACTACATTAGTGGCCGCACGCGAATATCCTTAATTTAAGATTATTTTCTACTCGAATTAGGGATATTCGCGTGCGGCCACTAATATAGTAATATTTTACTAAATAAGGGAATAGATTATAAGAGTAATAAAGTAATATATAGCTATTAGATTCTATATATCCTTATAAGATTTATATATTACTATGTTTTACGTATTAGCTACCCCCACCTAATAGGCGTGCTAAGCGAATATCTAGGTGAGAACCGCTGAACGATTACTAACTTTACATATGTTCACGGTCTAGGCAAGCTCCAGCCACCCCCACGCACTACTCCACACTAGAGCGCCTCGCTTGTGGATTAGAATCTTTGGGGTTCATATTTTAAAATAAGGCAAACAAATTAACCAGAGCAGCAATGTGGCGCAGCGGAAGCGCGCCGTACGTCTACCTATACTTGATTATCAATAGAATTCTTAACTAACATTATCACAGGGGCTCATAACCCGGAGGTCCCTGGATCGAAACCAGGCATTGCTATAACTTTTTGCCTTTTGCTTTCTTTGATAGCTGCTCCTCTTAGTTCAGCTCTTCCTCACACCTCCACGCATCTAACCTAGATTTACGTGCCGTTGTAGAAATTTGCATACTCATAGAAGTCCCATTAATTTTTGCTCTTCCCTATATGTGTTGGTGCCTATCTATATGACCCATCGTCCGGTGAGACATGTCCAGCGCCAGGCATCACAGCTAAGCGGTGCGTTCCTGCCTAACGATTTTAGCTGTAATGCCTGGCGCTGGACATGTCTCACCGGACGATGGGATACCGTCAGGGGGGTTCCTTTGTCAGTCATCCTTTTGTTTAACTTCTCTATTCCCACGATCACCCCTACCACAGATCCATTTTTGCCACTGTACAAATGCCAAGCACTTGGACTTGAGCAGAAGTCACATTACATTTAATCGTGTTGTGATGGTGCAAAAACCTGCCCTGGAATGGATCTGAGGTATGAAAATCCAGTTTGAAGCCTCAGGCACAATAATTTTTATAAGTTCCAACCTCCAACCTTCCACTCCAATCAACCACAAAACAAGTCAACCATGGAACAAAGACAAGAACACAGCTTCGGAGGCTCATCCTTCCCAATAAACCCAGAAGAATTTGATGCCGATGACAGAATTTCGTACTCCAAACTCGACAATAAATTCGTGCTGGTTCAAGAAGATGGCGCCGAGTTCGAGTTCGACGATGCGATCAAGCGATGGATCCCAGTCGTCGATGAGGCACTATTGGAGGAGCAACAGAAAGCGTATAGAGTTTCTGGAGTAGACGAGACAGAACCGGTAGAGGCAATGAAGAGAAAGCGCAAGAAGGAGTACGTGAATGGTGAAGATGTATGATTATGCCCCTCTTCTCAGTCACAGCTAACAAAGTAATAGGAAGGAGGAAGAGCAGCCAAAGCCCCCAAGAAATCCAAAGCACCTCTCCCTCCCCGAGCAAATACTGCCGTTTATGTTACAGGCCTCCCAAACGATGTGACCGTCGAGGAAGTCCGCGAGGTATTTTCACGAAAATGCGGTGTCATTGCAGAAGAAATCGACAGTGGAAAGCCGCGCATCAAACTCTACACAGACGAGAAGGGAGATTTCAAGGGCGATGCATTGATCGTTTTCTTCAAGGCTCCGTCTGTTGACATGGCGATCATGTTACTTGACGACACAGAGTTCAGGATAGGAGATACGACCAATGGCAAAATGAGAGTTCAAGCTGCGGAGTCGAGTTACAAGAAAGTCCAGCACAACGACGGGGAAGAAAAGGAGAAAGCAAAAACGAGTATGAAGGACAAGCAAAAGATTATTAAGAAGACGCAGAAGCTTGATGCACGATTAGCCGATTGGAGTGATGATGAGCCCTCCAGCATTGTGGAAACCAGCTCCAGATGGGACAAAGTGGTCATCTTGAAGCACATGTTTACGTTGGAGGAACTGGCAGAAGACCCAGCTGCAATACTGGATATCAAAGAAGACATTAGAGAGGAATGCAGTAAACTGGGAGAGGTCACGAACGTGGTCCTCTTTGATATGGAAGAAGAAGGTGTCGCGAGTGTCAGGTTCTCGAATTCGGAGGCAGCGAGGGCTTGCGTTGGAGTAATGGACGGGAGGAGCTTCGCGGGCCAAAAAGTTGTGGCGTACATCTCGGAAGGCAAGGAGCATTTCAAGAAGTCCAAGAAAAAGGACGGCGATCACGAACATACTCCAGAGCAGGAATAATATGGCTAATAGCTTCCGAAAAGGAACCTTGTTTCACATCATGTCTTCGTGAGCTATCTACACCCAAGCCTACCATATACCATTATCAAAACGCCATTATCCCAAGTCAAAAATCACGCACTCGGATCACTCTCAGGTATATCTTCCTCTTTTCCCGCCCTCTCCAACGGCAGTTCTACCTCCTTGACTGGATGTAAGAGCATGGGAGGTAGACACATTCTTCCTTCTCCACCCCTCATCTCATTCACACCATTACCACTTCTGCCTTCGTCAACGGTCAATTCGAATTCTTCTCCACCCTCATTGTTGACCTTCAGCCCTAGCCATCTTTTCCACAAATTTGGTGCGAAACCTGCATTATAATACCAAGTCATGCCCAGCAGATTGTGCTCGCGTTCACCGAACACACTTGTTCTTGCACCACCGGTAGCGCCATTCCTACCTGAATTCAGAACTCCTGCGAGATACGGTGTTGGCCATTCTCTGTCCACAAACATGGGGTGTGGGGCGTAGACTGCTTTGTATCCATGGTGTAATGCAGCAGTTGGTGCCCACATCTCGGAAAACGCATGATGCTTCTTGAAAGCCGTTTCGCGATGCATCGTTCTGAGAAGTCGTTTTGACATCCTTGAAGACGTTACAATTGCTGCTCGGCGTGGAGGCAGCCCGTCGGTGGCGTTGTACCCTGTAATGTCGTTTGCGAGAAACCAAGTCGTTTTCTCAGGATCGAAGAGAGGGTTGAAAGTTATAAGATCCGCATCTTCGCCAACTCCCCAAGAGTACTTGTCCTTGTCGTAACTCCCAATAGGCTTGGGGTCATGCTCGATCTCGAACCAGTCCTCGGAATTTTGGGGTCGTTCGGGCCCCCAAACTGGCTTTTCGCCTTTCGGCTGCACCTTGGGCCCCTTGATGCCGGACCACATGTCTTCAGCGTTCTCGGTGCCCATTTCAGTCTGCACGCGGACCATCTGCTTGAAATCTTCCCAGGATCCGTGGACTGAGGGAACATAGAACCGACCGCTCCTCTCCCATAACCCCTTCCGGGGTTGTTTCTTGGCCCATAACTCGACTTGTGAAAACAGATTGTAGTAGTGGCCAGTATACCGAATATCAATCTCCCAATGCCAGAAGAAGTCGTACTCGGGATGTCTTTGTGCGAAATGCTGCATGGCCATTTGCAGACCTCGATAAGGGCCATGCACAGGGAGACCACGAGTGAAAGTATCGAAAATTCCTTGGTATAACATGAGCATCTGTGTTTCACTCCACAGTGTTGCAATATCGCGGAATTCTTCAGGGACACAGTCTTCCAAATGTTGCTGATATGTTTCAGGATCCGCCCAGATTGGGTGTCTTGCTTCATCCTTGACTTGGACAAGAAGATGGACATCGTACTCTCCACCTGATCCAAGAGACAACTCCGAGATCATTGCTCTGAGGTTGAGTATATCCTCCTCTCGATACTCAAAGTCATCCCATACACGAACAACCACAGCAGTACGAGGCAGATACTTTTTCGTTAGTGTAGCATTGGTTGTCGCATCCAAAGCCGAGCTCGGTCGGCCATATTGCTTCTCCGTCAGCTTGCCTTCTTGGCTAACTACGGAGAATGTCGTGGAAAGCTCGACTAGGGGATACTGCGGTCCAAAACGCGCGGCATTTGCTTCATAGCATCTTTTCTGAGCAGCTCCCCATTTGACCTTTCTATAGTCAACCTGGTTGAAACCGAGTTCCGAGTTATCTGCCCAAACAGAAGCTGATCCTTCTGTGTCTCCGTGCTCGCCAGTGTCAGTGCCCCCATACTTCGAAGAGTAACCAAAGCCATACGGTCCCAATCTTCCAAAGCGTTCGAAACAAATATCTTCCGGTAAGCTGAGGAGCTCATAAGATCCAACAACATTATCAGGGAAACCACTTGGCCTTCCCTGATAGTGTTGCAGTTGAGGAATACGAATAGTTGATTCCAAATCCAGAAAGCATTCGTTAACAGGCCCATAGTCACTCAAGTAAGTGCTTGAGGTTTGGTGCTTGAATGCTTGAAATGGTCTGCTGGATGGAATTTCTCGGGTTGGAATAGATGTTGTCTCGTTTGAAATAGGCAACTCATCGGCAGCAGACGGATACTCCGGCTTGTTTTCCGATAACGGTACCAAGGTCCTGATACCACCATAATATCTCGACAGAAATGTAAATGATTTCCACGGCTCGGGTGGAGGTGGAGGCCGTGTCCCAAGATCTCCAGCCTCAACTCGGCGCGAGGATACAACACTCATCCGGACTAAGCTTAACATGAAAATGACAATAGTCGAGATCAAAGCCAAGCATAAATACCGCATAACCTTGTTCGGGAGTCTGTATCTCGAATTCGTAGGTCGTTGCGAGCCTGCAGACGATTTCCTCCGCAGCATTGGTCGATTAGATGAGTAGGAGCCAGACGTCTCTCGAGAGGAGACTGGCGAGGATGTGTAAGAGGAGTAGTCGGACTCATCGTCTGAATCACCGGAGTAGTCATATTTTTCTAGATCGCGCTCTCGCCTTCTGGAAACTCGACTGTCGATTTTGGAGTATTTAGTTGGGGATGACCTCTTGGTGACAGTTAGAGGATTGAGGGAGTTGAAAGCTGCCATTCCGGAGCGAGGGTGGGTTGTTTGTATGGAATGTCTGCATGAACGGTAAACATGCGTACACAGGGTGTGCAAGAGCAATACGTACTCTCGTGGATAATCGCATGCGGCACAGATATAATGAATTTAGCTAACGACCCAAGGAGGGGATTGATATTCTGCAGTAATGTACACAGGATGGCTTGAAGATGTGAGAGTGAGATGCAAGATTATCACACTCAAGCCTTGTTTACCTCCCTGCTAGTGAAGTTGCCCCGGCGACCCCCTTATCTTATCGCTAGCGAGACACGCTTCACCCCCGTTCACGTGACGGGAGCCACAACGTCTTCCAAGATGAAGCAAGTTTGCAGAACCATTTTCATGTTTACTTATTGGCCGTACCGGCATCCAGCCGCTCTATTACTCTTAATACAAACATGGCGACTTGTTAGGTAAATCTGTGCGTTTCAGTTGAGATTTTTGCTTGGAGCACTAACCGTTACGAAGAGAGTCCGCTGTTTGCTGGGCTCCTGAGCTCTCGTCAAATTGGTGGCCGAAACTAGCAGTAAAATCAGTGTCAGTCGCTAGCAGGAGCAAAGGAGGGAAATGGAATAATGGCATGATGAATAAGAAGGCAAGAAGGAGGGTTGACCGCCTTTCGTGCCC